ACTCACCTCAGCCTCCCAAAGGCGCGGGATTACAGGCTGAGCCACCGAGTCCGGCTGTGACTGAGCCTTTGAAAGGCGATGAGGGAGTGGGGCGGGGTGAGACTCAGCAGAGTCAGGGAAAGCCAGTGCTAACGAACGCAGTGAGTTCAACTGTGTCTGCTAGCTGGCAATGGCGACTTAAAGTTACTCTAGGATTCTGTCCTCCCACAGAGCCCAGGAGCCAGAGGCCCAGTCCTTCCTGAGGATTCCGTTTCAAAGGAATAGCTCTTGAAGCCAGCAGTGAATCATGCCCATAATCCCATCACTTTGGGAGGCTTAGGCGAGAGGATTGCCTGAGCCCAAGGGTTTGAGACCAACCTGGGCAACATGGCAAGATTTCATGTCTACAATAAATCAAAAAAATCAGCTGGGTGTGGTGGCTCGTGCCTGTAGTTCCAGTTACTGAGAAGGCGGAGGCCAAAGGATCACCTGATCTCAGCAGGCCGAGGCTGTGGTGGCCATGAGCGTGCCACTGCACTCCAGCCTGGGCAACAGAGTGTGACCCCTACTGGAAAAAAACAGAGGAATCGCTTTTGGATCCTTGAGAAAGGCATGTCTGAGTTTCAAGAGGTATACGGTCCATGGATTCTACATCCATGGATTTTACATCCATGGATTTTACAAACAACTGTGGATCACAAATATTCAGGAAATATTTGTGATTCACAAATATGCAAGAAACAAAAGAAAAAATAATGATACAACAATAAAAGACAAAAATATGAAATGCAGCGCAACAATTATTTATATTGCATTTACAGTGAATTTTGTGTTATAAGTAATCTGGAGATAATTTAAAGTGAACAGGAGGATGTACATTGGGCATATGCAAATGCCCCACCATTTTTCATATGGGACATGAGCATCTGGATTTTGGCATCCTCGGGAGGTCCTGGAAACAGTCGCCCATGACCTCAAAGGATGACTGTACCTGCATCCCCAGGGGAAAGAGGAAGGGCTCATAACTGTAAATCGCTCTCAGGGGTATGTCAAGGTGTTGGGCAGAACACACAGTCAATTCTCCTGGCCTGGAGAGCTTTCTCAGGCGTGCATGTGGTGGACTGGGGTTGTCCAAGAGACCGAGCCCTGTGTTATTAGAAGGTGCCTGGAGTCTGGTTACTTCGTGCAGAGGTTTGGACAGAGTCCTTGTGTGCTGAGAGTTCTGCGGTTCTCACAAGCCCACTTTCTGGCAGAGACAGAGCTAGCGACAGAGGAGGGGCATCCAGAGGAACAGAGTCAGAAGAGAAGGAAGGAGTGAGGCAGACCAAGAAAGGCGAGTTAATGGATCGCCTGCAGGAGATGAGGCTCAAGGGACACACGAAGCAGAAGAAAACTGCCTCCCCCTTGTCTCTCCTGCTGGCTTCAGTTCTGACCCCTCAGAAACACAGCAGGACCCCCCCCCCAATCTCAGAGTTTCCCAGAGGGACCCTGTAGCTTCTGCACAGCCTTTGGAAGTGCCTTTAGCGGTGTGATAAGGCAGCCTGCCTGACACGCCCCGACACGCCTCCCCTCCTGGGGTGTCCACCCTTTTCCGCTCAAAGGACAGGAGATGCTCAAGGTCCCTGCTGGGCACCGCAGAGCCCTTCCTGCTGCACCCCCAGTGCTCAGGACAGCTGGTGGGCTCTTCATTACTAGCCTGAGCTCTGTCCTGGGGGTACTCATTTCCAGGGCGTGTGACTCCTCCTTGCCCCCCTCCTCCTTTCACCACCTCCCTTTCTCCTGTCTCTCGACCAAAGGGCTGAACTCTGTGTGCATGGGCCTAGGTGGACACCAGCAAGTGGGGACCTGAGAATGCATGGCTCCTCCCCAGAGAGGGTTTCAGAAAGAAACTTTGAGGAGGGTTCCCTGCCTCATCTATCAACAAGGTCTGACAACTAGATTCGTGAACCATCTCCGAAAAAGTGCTACACACCTCACTGCTGAATATTGCTATGCTCACCTTTGGAGCACGCCTCTTGGGAAGCTATGTGCTGACACAGGCCTAGTCCCCCTATCAAAGCAATCTGGAAAATCGTTTTCTGGAATGGCCATCAGAGTTGTCATCATAGTACCCTTAGGTTCTGAATATCATCAAAATGTCTTCCTTTCATTATTTCCTTTATCTTTGGGTAAAGAAAAAAGTCACTGGGGGCCAGATCATGTGAGTAGGGAGGGTGTTCCAATACCAGTATTTGCTGACTGATTAAAGACACCCTCACAGACAGTGCTGTGTGAGCTGGTGCATGGTTATGGTGCAAGATCTCCTTTGGGACCATTTTTGCACACACCTTTCTCGTGCCGAGATTTCAGTTAAGGCTTTCCTCTTTCTCTATGAATGTTTCTTTGGTCTGCTGTGCTTCTCACAGTCAACTGGCAATTTTGACACAAATTTGGTGATGTTTTGCAATATTTTCATCAGTTCTGCCCATTACTGGTTGTCCTGACCTCTCTTCATCAGTGACGCTTTCTTTCTCCTCAGAAAAATGTTTCACCCATTTGTACACTGCAGTTTTCTTCATGGAATTTTCCCATAAACTTGGACAAATATGTCCTGATTCCACTTTCACTCTTGCCAAGTTTAACAATAAATTTCAGGTTTGTTTTTGCTCTAATTCAAACTCCAACATTCGTGCAAGGACAGCTCTACTGGCCATTCTATAGCTTTCCAAGGGGAGTACTTTGAAGGTGACCATAGTGATATTCAGCAACGAGGTATGTAGCACTTTTTCTAGAATATGTTCACACACTTAATTGTCATACCTTAAAATGACAATCCAGAAGTGAGATGGTTGTCAGAGAAGTTGCAGTTACACGTTTAATTGAATTGAGCATTTGTGAGGGTTTTTTCCTGAAAGTCAAATGAAGCTTGATTCGGTTGATTGGTTTAACAATAACACCCAGCATGACTCTTTCAACAACATGGAAGACATTTTTCATTAACTGAATGAGCTAAATGTGCAACTGCAAGATTATGAAGAATGCACGCTAAGGCAAGTATGCTACATGCACAATGGCAAAAACTCCATCCTTTGCAATTTTTTAACTTTTATGACGCTTAAAAATGTTTGAGGCCACCTAGAATGCATAAGGGGATATGTGGTTTTCCAAGTTATCTTAGAACAGGAGTTGCAAACTATCATCCATGGATAGGCCTGAGATACAGCCTTGCCTGTGTATTTACATATTGTCTGTAACTGTTTTCAGGCTGCAAAGCTCCAGCAGCAGAGCAAAGGAGTGAGACACCTGCCCACAAAATCTAAAATACTTATTTATCTGGTTCTTTACAGAAAAAATGTGCCCAGAGCAATCTGGGCTTTCCTGCTCCTGGTTCACACTGTGCCCTCTGCCCACACTCATTACGACCCTCATTCTCTGGTCATCTCCAGCTTATTTTCTACCTTCAGATTTTTTTTTTTTGAGTCAGAGTCTCACTCTGTTGCCCAGGTTCATAGCCTTGGCCTGCTGGACTCAGGTTATCCTTCTGCCTCAGCCTTCCAAGTAGCTGGAACTATAGGCATGTGCCACCATGCCCAGCTAATTAAAAAAAACTTTTTTTATCATAGAGATGAGGTTGCACCTTGTGGCCCAGGTTGGTCTTGAACCTGCAGGCTCAGGCAGTCCTCTCGTCTAGACCTCCCAAAGTGCTGGGATTACTGGCTTGAGCCACTGCACCTGGCCTCTACGTTCAGCTTAATCGAAATAATTCCATCAGGCTGGGCTCAGGTGAAGCCGTCCTTGATCAGGGCCTTGGAGCAAAACACACCTGGGGTTCATCCTGCCTCTGCACTGTGGCTGACCTGTACTAGAGACTCAGTAGTGTCATGATTTTGACAAATGACTTTGGTTCCGTGAGCCTGTTCTCCCGTCTGTAAAATGGGGATCAAAAAGCTGCCTCTGTGCCGTGGATGGCCATTTCAGGCTGGCGGCCCGGGAGGGCTGGCAACGGGGACGGTGGCCACGTCTGTTCCTTTCTCCCTTGGCAGCCTGACTGCGGCGGTCCGCGCGGCCGCCGTGCCGTCTGGCTCCCCACTCCCGTCCCGCCCGCAGGGACATCCTCAAGGGCAGGAATCGCGTCCCTGCCGCTCTGTCTTATCGCAGCCATTTCCATTCCACCCTGTGCCCGGCTAAAGTCAGCTGAGGGAACAGTCAGGTCCCCGGGTTAGGGACGCCGAAGGGGGACGCACCTGGTCGCTGCGGGAGACCCCATAGCGCAGCTCGTTCACGAAGTGCTCGCAGTTATCGCTGGTCAGCGAATAGCGCAGCTCCCGTCCCACCAGCTCCTCGGCCCGGCGGATGATTTTGTTGGAAGGCAGCGGCTGATACCTGTCATCGTGTTTGTTGTTGACCCGGTACCTGTTTCTCCCGGCCGCCACGGACAGCAGTTCCTTCTTCACCACAACCTTCTCAGTCAGGGTAGACAGGATGCTGGCGGCACCAACCCCACCAACTTCAACTGTGGGAAGAGTGAGTTTGGTACCAGACAGGGCCCCGGGTGCTGCCTGAGCCAGACAGCCTCCTTGCCCTTGGCGCCCTCAAGGTCGATGGGCCGGCCAGGCTCAGTGGCTCAGCCTGTAATCCCAGCACTTTGGGAGGCTGAGGCGGGTGGACTGCCTGAGCCCAAGGATTCGAGACCAGCCTGGGCAACGTGGTGAGACCTTGTCTCTATAATGAATTTTAAAAATTAGCCGGGTGTGGTAGAGCACGCCTGTAGTTCCTGCTACTTGAAAGGCTGAGGCAGAAGAATCGCTGGACTCCAGCAGGTTGACACTGGGGTGGCCAGGAGCATGCCACTGCACTCAAGTCTGATGACAGAGTGAGACTCCAACTCAAAAAATAAGTAAACACATAAATACATGAGTAGAGAGGGATGGGCCACGAAAGGACCTGTCCATCCTGCCTGGCCCTACGCTCGAAGAGGTCCCATCCCAGTCTGGTGACTTTGGAGCCGTCTTCAGAACTCTCTGGTTTCCGCATTTCTAAAGTATGGAGAGTGTGTCCTAAAGGAACACATGAGTTTAGATGTCCCCGAAAGAGTCATCATCAGGGCAGAGGGGTGCAGGGCAAAGAGAGGAGACAGTCAACCTCCAGGTCCTAGTCCCAGTTTCCCCTTAGGACTTAGAAAAGTCACTCCACCTTTCAGAGCCAGTGCTGTGGAAGCCTCTGCAGGTTAGGTGGCTTTTTGTTTTTGTCTAAGTCAGAGTCTCACTCTATGGCCCAGGCTGTAGTGCAGTGGCATAATCACAGCTCACTGCAGCCTCGACCTCCAGGGATCAGGCAATTCTTCCACCTCTGTCTCCCAAGTAGCTGGGATGGTAGGTGTTCACCACCATGCCCAGCTAATTTTTGTATTTTTTGTGGAGACGGGGTCTGGCCATGTTACCCAGGGTGGTCTTGAACCTGGGCTTAAGAGATTCTCCTGCCTTGGTGTCTCAAAGTGCTGGGATTTCACACACGAGCCATTGCACCCAGCAGACATTTTTAAATAGCAGGAAAGGAGCCAGCTGAGTAAGACAGAAGCCTGCCTGGGCATCCAGAGCCCTAGATCCTAGCCTGGCTCCCTCACTGTGTGTCCTCAGACATTTCTCTTCTCATCTTGGGGCCTGGGTTTTATTATTTATGAACTTAGGAAACTGAGTCCGGTGATGTCCCTGCTCTCTGGCACTACATTGGATGATTCGCCTCTAAAGGGGACCCCAGGCACCTGGGAAGCTGGAATGAGACAGGGGAGGAGAGGTGGCACCTGGCACCCTCAGAGACAAGCCCATGGCCTGGCGGGGCTCTGATGGATCCTGCTGGAAGCAGCTGGGCTCATAGAAAGCCTCTTGGTGGAAGGTCGACCTCTGAACAGCCTATGTATCTAATGACAAATTTCTAAACTTACATGTGTGTTTACACTTTGGTTTATTGGCTTTTCTTTCTTTTCAAGAGGACATTTTAAAAAACAACTTGGTGCTGGGCATGGTGGCTCATGTCTGTAATCCCAGCACTTTGGGAGGTGGAGATGAGAGGATTGCCTAAGCCCATGGGTTTGAGACCGACCTGGGCAACATGGCGAGACCTCGTCTCTACAATAAATACAAAATTTAACTGGACATGGTGGCGCACGCCTGTAGTTCCAGCCAAGTGGAAGGATCGCCTGAGCACAGCAGGTGGAGTCTGTGATGGCTGTGATTGTGCCACTGCGCTCCAGTCTGGGAAACAGGGCGACTCTGATGAAAAATAAATGCCTTGGCTCCAGCTCTCTCCAGCTGTAGGAGCAAAACGGGAGAGTCAGCACACAGAGTTGGAACATCAAGAACTTCCTAGGAGTAACAAAAACATCTTGGGGATGAGCATTTCCACTCAAATTCCAAGAGTTCCTTTAGAGCAAATCCATAGCTGCTACCCTTGGCCTTTCCACGCCTTTCTCTAACATGAGGCTGCCCCTGTGAATCTCCTAGGTAGTCACCTGCTTCCTAAAATAGGAGGCCAAATAATACTTTCCTTGGGAGAAATCACCTTACAAATCCCAGATGCATCAGACACTGAAGCATCATGTGTTCTCCAGATCCAAATGGATTGTCCTAAGGAGAATATTAAATTCCACAGACACTATAGATCTCTCCAAAATCTCTGACATTGGATGAGCCTCTTCTTCTGCAGACATGGGAAAAATCAAACATGCCAAACTCATTAAAAATTCTAATGGGCCTTTCTAAACTGCTTCATAAGTCACCACAGTACTCCTTAAAATCAGAAACCATACCAAGGCTCATCCCTCTGATAGAAGACTTAGAAAGCTAGAGGTTTATTATTCCCTGCACCAGTCCTTACAATATTCCTATCTTGCCTCTAAAGAAACACAATGGATGAGTATGGATATTTATACAAGTCCTTAGAGTCATAAATAAGATTCCCAGTGGTACCAAACCCAAACACCATGGTGGCAAAAATACTATCATAATCCAAGTGACTCAGGGCTATGGGCTTATGGTCTGCTTTCTTGAGCACCTCCGTAAGCAGAGAAAGCCAATTTATTTTGCACTTACTTGGAAAAATCAGCAGTATACTTGGACAGTATCACTGAAACTCTCTTATACATATCACAAGGTTTACATCAGGATTTGAAAACCCTGAAACTTCCAAGAAATTCAATATGTACATGATTTATTCTTCCTCCAAAGAAGACTCAAAAGTTGACTCAACATATTTGTTATAACAACTAGCTTACAGTTGCTATGAGGCCTCTCAAAATAAGCATCCTTTCATAAGAGATAGTTTATTATCTAGGTCATAATGCATCTACAAAAGGAATATTTCCCTCTCCATAAAGAATATATACTATCCAAAATTATCCTAGAACTCTAATGAAAAGATAACTCAAGAGTTCTTGGACTTTCAGGATGCTCCAGGTTCTGGGTCTCAAATATTTTTTTAAGAGATGAGTCTTGGTTAGGGATACAAACATCTTTATAATAAATAAATAAATAAATAATAAAAATAAAATTTAAAAGAAGAGATGAGTCTTACTCTGTTACCCGACTGGAGTGTAGTAGCATGATCAAAGCTCACCGCAGCCTTGAAGTACTGGGCTCAAGTAATCCTCCTGCCTCAGTCTCCCAAGTAACTGTGATTACAGATGTGTGCCACTACAGCTGGCTAGTGTGTGTGTGTGTGTGTGTGTGTGTATGTGTAGACAGGGTCAGCTATGCTCCTGAGGCTTGTCTCAAACTTCTGGCCTTAAGCGATCCTCCTGCCTCAGCCTGCCAAAGTGGTGGGGTTACAAGTGTGAGTCAATCGCTGCAGCCCCAAATTTCTCTTTATTGGCTTCTCTACTCTATCGAACAACTAAAAATGGCACTCAGTAGCCTCTCCCTTGGAAAACAAGGTATGGGGAGACCTTTAATGAACTCAAATGAGTTTTACAATATCCTTCTGTCCTAGGACTCCTCAAGGATTCTGAACCCCTTTACGTGTTTGTCCAGTGAACAATCAGGCTTTACAAGTTCTCACCCAACAACAAGGATGAAAAAGTAGACCTACAGCCTATGATAGCCTGCAGTTGGATTCAGCAGTCAGGAAAGCAGCCATACCACCAAAATTATACAGTCCTCTAAGAATTTGTTCAGGGAAATGATCTATATCTACAGGATCCTTGTGCTATAGAAAGTATATTCAATACCAAGTATGCACAGCATTTCTCAGCCGAAAAACTAACATATGGTGAGGTTCTGCTCCTGTCTCCTTCAAGCCTACACATTTTTCACTGTAGCTCTTTAAATTCTCCTACCCTCCTAATCTTTACCCAATGAAGGTGAGATTCATAACTGTATTGGCTTGATTTCTCCAAATTTGACTCCTACATTAGATTTATTGCAAACCCTATTAGCCAATCCACACAACCTGCAGAATTAATTGCCCTCACTGTAGCCTGAAAATTAGCCTCAGATAAGACTGCAAATATCTAAACTAGTATCAGGTATGCTTTTGGAGTTGTCCATGCTTTTGGCATGTTGTGGAAAGGGATTTTTAAAGTCTTCAAATAATGGGCATAGGCCAGGTGTGATGGCCCATGTCTGTAATCCCAGCACTTTGGGAGGTCAAAGTGGGAGGATTGCTTGGGACCAGGAGTTTGAGACCAGTCTGGGCAATACAGCAAGATCTTGTCAATACAAAAAATAAAAAAAATTTGCCAGGTGTGGTGGTGTGCACCTGTAGTCCAAACTACTTGGGAAGCTGGGGCAGAAGAACCAACTGAGTGGAAGGCTAGGGGAAGGGTCACCTGAACCCAGCAGGTCGAGGCTGCGGTGGTCATGATTGTGCCACTGCACTCCAGCCTGGGCAACAGAATGAGACTGCAACTCAAAAAAGAAAAAGAGAGGATTGCTGGGTAAGATGGTGACGGCATAGGTGGAATTGTGAGATTCTCTGAATGTGAGTTCCCAAAAAGACTTTTACTTTACTTCCCCCAACCCCCTGCCCACTGCCAGCTGCACCAGTCCGAGGCTCAGGGACCCTTGGTCCCACGCAGGGCCGGATATTATGGCCCCCAGCTGCTGCTGTTCCACTATATGTGGCCCCTGCCTGCCGCAAGGGAATCTTGGCTCCCTCCTGGCTACATTGTCTCACCCGGCACCAAGCCGCCAGTCTCCCAGGGAGGCTCTAGGTGCCCGCCCCTCAGAGATACCAGCTCCATTTCTGGCTGAAGTACCCTGTGAGGGGCCCAAATCCATTCTCACCACTCACCACCTGCCCTTTGGAGCTCTGGGCCCACCCTGGCTGAGGCACCCAGTGTGCGACCTCATGCTTGTGTAAGGGAACAGCATATCTTAAGGAGGTGCTGATTGGAGGCTCTCAGCTCCAGAGGAGGGAACTCCCAGCTTCCTCCTGCACCCCTGCCTGCTGGTGGCACACCGGATCCAGTGCCCGGCTGTGTAGCTCATCTTCGGTGCCTCGCACACCACCACAGCCCAT